TGAGCTGACGTGGATTTAGAGGGTCCCTGTAATTGGGTGTGGGGAGTAACGTCTCCTCCTGCAATCCTCTCTCTCTGCGCCCCTCTCTCCCCTGCCTCAGTGAGGGGGTCTAAGAACCCATCCTTGAAATCCCACTTGCAAACATGTCCAGTGTGCATTTTCGCAGTGCCTCTGTGGGTCTTTGCGCCCATCGGATTCTCTGGGGGTCTACAGTGACCTCAGACAGGTCCCCATGTCTGCTCATGGAGTGGCCCTTCTACCAGGTGGGATCTGCAGGTGGGCAGGCACCCGGAGGGAGGGGGAGGGCTGGGGGACAGCTGAAGGCTTCTAAAGGGCCTCTCTAGGCCGCACCCAGCAGCAGCCCCAGGTCCCCTTGGCCCTAGAGCAGGCGTCCCTCCTACCTCCTCCTCCATCTCCCCCAGCCCCTGGGGTTCAAGGGCCCCGAAGTTCTCTTCAGAACACTGAAGGGAGAGGAGGCAGCCTCTGGAAGGCCACAGACGCCATCCACCCTTGGAGTAGCTATGAGGCCTCCAACAAGACAGTCTACTTCCTGAGCCTCACCTCCTCATCAGTAAAATGGGTACACCTCACCAGCCCAATGGGGAGGTTGTAAAGATTAACCAGTGTTGTGAAGCATTATAGCTGATGGCTGTAAATTCTCCATAAATGTTAGCTAACATCAGCGTCACAGCCCCTGTGAATATTCACTGAATGAGTAACTAAGGATGAAAGAGGTGTATCCCAGAGGGCCTCTCGGATACACACACCCCGCACCATTCCTAACACAGGGAAGCCTGCTGGAGAACAGCAACCACACCAGATCCTGGCCCTATTCTAAACACCTCAACGCTCACGGCACCCCCTGAGCCTCTGGGCCCCATGATGGGACTGTCATTGCCCCCATTTTACAGATGAGGACACTGAGAGGCTAGGTCCGGCTGTGATCACAAAACCAGGTGGGCAGGCCCTGAGCGCATGCTTCCGGAGCCTCTGCTCCTGGAAGATTGTCCAGACCATGCACCCCCCCTCCGCACCCCACCTCCGCCACCACCAGACCAGAGACAAAGTCACCAGCTTCCTGCCCCTCCCCCCCACTCGGCTTTGCTCAATCCATAGTCTGTTTTCCAAGAATCAGGCCAGCAGCCATCTCACCCACCTGGCCATGGAGGGAGTAGGGATGGTGCATGGATGACAGTCCCCATAGCCAGAGAGAAGAACAGCTCCATGTACAAGTGCCATTGACGTGCCAGGCTGGAGTCTTGGACAGGAGTTGTGGGGTGGGGGCGGGTGGGGCAGAGAAAACCCTGAGCCCCAGCCTCTCCTCTCTTCCAGGTAGGCCCCAGAACAGTTGTGTTTTCCCTTACCCCTCCCCCTGGGCAGCCCAGTGGTTGTAAGTGACTTTGGAAACAGCTCCTGGGGGGGCAAATCTCAGCTTTGCAGCTTATGAGCTGTGCCACTTTCAGCAAATGGCTTTCTCAGCCTTAATCTTCTCATCTGTAAAATGGGGACAAGCGTACCCGCACCCCCTCCGACAGGGATGGTTATGAGGACCGAGCTGATGATCCCCCAGCACAGAAGAACGGGCCCCCAGGAAAATGTTCGTGGAGTGATGGAATGACTGGCCAGATGGTACCATTCTACTTTGAAAGCGAGGCTTCAGGGATGCAGGGACATTACGGTGACACCCCCCACCCCCACCCCCGGCACTGATTGGCCAGGGCAGGGCGACAGGAGCGGTGACACCACACTGAAGGCAGCTGCACAGGCCCCGGCAATGATGCCTGCGCCCCCTGACCCGACATGGGGGTGATCTAGACCCCAACGGCAGGGGGGCTCGCCAGCCACGGGCCGGATTTACAAATATAACTACCCCGATGACAAAGCACATCGCAGGCCAGGCGTGTCACCTCATGATGACGAGGCACACAAAAATGGCAAGAAATACACACAACCAACCATGCGACCACAGCCCGCCATCACAGTCTCCCAGCCCACGTGGCCTCACACTCCACCCCACACACAAACTCCCCCACACAGCCTCAGAGGCAGCCGACCACACAGTCCCAGCTCACACCCACAGTCTCGCACCCCCCACGGCTCCCATGCAGTCATATCTGCAGTCACACCACCTCACCCCCAGTTCCCCATCCACTCCCACTAACAGCCATCCCCGCCCCCTGCACCCCCCCCGGGCTCACCCCCACGGGCTGCCGGAGCCTGCCACACCCGCCTGACTTAGACCCATGCCTCACCTACGACAGGTGCAGCTCCTCGTGCAAGGCCCACAGGTAACTCATCATGTGCTCAAAACATCCCACTGGAAGCCGAGTACAGGCTGGGGTTCCTCCAGGAGCCTCTGCCCATAGGAAGGGTGTTGGCTTTCTGCTCCTTTGCCCACACGGGCATACTTTCTTTGGCCCGTAGTGGTCTTCATGGCTTGGTGGGAGCCTAGGCCCACCCCTCCTTGTCCCTGCCCTGGAAGGAGGTCTAGGCAGCGGCAGGGATGCTCTGCCAGGCTCCTTACGAGGTTCCCAGCAAGAATTCCCACAGGGCCTCGCAGAGGGCGTGCTAGGTGTGCTCTGGGCAAGCCTGAGTGCCAGGTGAGGCAGAGGTCCGGCCACGTGCAAGAGCTGCCCGAGGCCCTCTCCCGGACCCTGTCTGGAGCGGCACTAGGGACCCTAGCAGGACCATGCATGCAAGCTCTGACACGTAATAGGCCCTCCTAAATGCTTCCTAAATGCTACCTCCACCCTGGGCTGGGCAGCAGGGGACCCACTCTGTGCTCCACTCTGAGCCAAACTCTCAGAGGGCTGGGAGGGAAAACAGACATAGGACACCCCTGGAGCTTCTGCTCAGTGGACCCTCCCTCTGCCCATCTGGGAAATGGGGGAGAACGGAGGGGTGGTGGGTGTGGCATATGGGGGCTCTCCTCACCGCACCCGGCGCCCTATCCCCCACCTCAGACTTGGCTCCACCAAGTCACTGAGGACTCAGGGCATGTCTGAAGGTCAGCCAAGGATGAATGGGACATGGTGGGATCCCACGAATCACAATGGGTGGGTGGTGGAGACATCTGAAGCAGATCGGGTAGCCTGGCTGGCCCTGCCTGACCCATTGTTCCTATGAGAGGCTAACGGCCTGGTGGCCTGAAGAAGGGGAAAGAGGGATACAGGGGAAGGAAGAGGAACCTTAAAGCAGACCAGGAGGGCTCAGGGGCAGAAGCGCTGGACCTGGAAGGCAGTGTGGGCAGCTTACTCTCTGGCCTGCAGTGTGGGGCTCCAGGGACATCCCCAGGGAGAAGTGGGCCCTCGGGCCAGGCCCACTGGGAAGACAGAGGCAGAAAATGGGCAAGAGCAGTAGGCAGAAAAGGACTGAGAACTGAACGAGAAAGAAGGAACAGGGGCACCTCTGGCCACAGAAGCATGGGAAGGAAGCAGCATGTCCCTACTGGAGAAAGAACACTCAGCCCCGGGACTGGGGACGCAGGCCTCTCCTCACTGCACCTGTCAGGAGAAGTTACTGCTAACTACCATTGTCCCAGCAGGGCCAGAGCCCACAGGGACCCCTGCCAGCAAAGAGCAGCAGAGCACCACTCAGAGACCATGTCCTGCCAGCCCACTGGCCTCGTGACCTCAGAGTCCCAGACCCTTCCTGGGGCTGCTGTGGGATCCATGGGCCACCCTGTGAAGCTCAGCCCCAGAGGTGGGCCCCAGAGGTGGTCAGATCCAAACAGTACGGGCACCCTGGTGCCTCGCACTGCCCGTCCGGAGGCTGCCAGCAAAAATTCCTGGGCCAGGGGTGGGCAGCGGCTGGACCGGGGGCCTAGAGCAACGAGCCGTGGCATGTAGCCCACCGTAGAGAAGCAGCTGGACTCTGACTTACACCCCAAATGCCCAGGCCAGGCCTGTCTTTATGACATTTTCTTCTTTGCCCCTACTAACTTGTATAGTGTCTGAAGACCCTGCAGATCAATAAATACACCCCTCGGGACGAAAGCCTGGCAGAACAGTAGCTCTCTCGGATAGGCAAAGGGTGGAAACAGACAGAGGCCAGATACGGCCTCCTGCCACCAGCGGGCTGTGCCAGTTGAGATATATCCCTCCCGCCAACCACAGCCTCCTTCGGTTTCCCCATCGTTACCTTAACGGGGTTAGACCAATCGGCAAGGCCCCGCCTGCTCAAATGTCCCGAGATTTTCTGGGAAGACCACACGTGGCCCCAAAACCAAGGAGCAAACCCAGGGCCTCAGATGAAGGCACGGCCTTTGGGCTGCAGTCCTCCCAGGGGACCGGGTGGGCCAGCTGGGGCACCTGGCCTCCAGTGCCCAGCATGCCTGTCCCAGCTCTGTGACTCAGGCAAGCTCTGAACCTCTCCGAGCCTCAGATTCCAAGCTCTGGAAAATGAAGATGAAACCATGTCCCAAAAAGCATGATATCAAACAGCCCTTAAGTCCTACCTGCCACGGGAGTTGGACCTTTGTCACTACTAAAAGCAGCACTACCACCTACTCCCAGTTCAAACCCCAGCAGGCAAGGACAAGGCCTTGTTTCTGTTCACCCTTCTGTCCTAAGCTCCCAGCCTCTTCTGGGTTACAGTCACCCATGTTAGTGAATGGAGGTGGGCACGGAGGTCAGGTGGGCTTCACCCATCCAGGTTTTACATTTCCTTCCAGGGATGGGGGGGCTTAACCAGCACTTTCAAGTGGTTATAGATGTGGCTTTAGTAGTACGTAATTAGTCTTGGGACCAAGAGGGTAAACAAATGTGTAATTCATGAATTTGCTAATTGTCCTTCATTTTGATCATCTGCCATTTTTCCTAGACTCTCTGACGGACATCGGTGCTCGTGGCAAGGACTCAGAGAGTGCCGGGAGCGAGCCTCGGAGGCGGGGGGGCATCAAAGCTGGATGCCCGGCCCACACCCTCCTCCCGGCCACCGCCTACAGCCCACGCCCCGCCGACTCACCGCCCCCCACCCCGCACACCACACAAGGCAGGAAGCCCGTGGCACTCAATCTTTTATTTTCTTAAACTGTACACAGATGTAAAATACTTTAACAGCAAGTCTATGGGAAAATTGTTTGGTTTTAAATTATTATGAAACAGAACCTAAGGGGAGCTTTATTAAATAAACATAAAGGTGGGGATTTAAGGACGCACACCTGCATTCTACCATAGTCATTTTTTCTGTACCTTCTGGGTGTGTAAAGATAGAAAAGACACATCAAACTGAATAAACAAAATCCATTTATACCCTGAAACGTTGGCAGGCCACTCAAGGGATTGTTCAGAACGTCTACCTCACAGAAGATGGCCTCACCATCTAATAAAAATTAAAACTGATCTGTTGGCCTCTTTGGTTCCAAAATTATGTATAATACATTTAACTGTATTTTTTTTTTTGCTGCTATAAAAATAACTTCTTTTTTCAAATGGCAGTTTCTGACTAATCATGCAACTAAATCAGTGCAAACATTAAAAGCAATCATTCGCTTAAAAAAGAAGCAAAGGATTTCATTTCAAGTATAAAAAATATAAAAAGAGTCGTACGAGTCCAGTTTCGTCTAGTGTGGGTCAACCCTTTAAATTGCATAGTTCACGCGGCACTTGGGCATCTGGGGGCGAGCGAGTTCAGTGCTCTGCCAAGGGCCACTCCTGGACACACGCAGATGGGCAAGTGCTAGATCATGTGCGTTCAGGCAAGTCGGCAAGTGCTAGGAGGGGCAGGCGGGCAGGCGCGAACAGGCGGGGGCCACGTCCATGGCCGGCCCTGGTGGCCGGAACCCACGCGGGCAACTTCTGCAAAGCAGCTGAAAGCCTCCCCCAGCTCTCCAAGACCGGCTACGCTGCTCCCCTCCCACAAACCCTGCTGGGGTGGGGGTGGGAGGGCACCCCCACTCCCCAACACCAGCATTCCCAGAATGCCTCCACTCCACCATTTCCTCCTCTGGGCTCATGCCCTTGCCTAAGGGTCATTTCCACCCCTATCCCAACCAGGCCTAGAGGAATATCCCCAGTGAAGGGCACAGATTGCAACTTTTTTTTTTTCTTCCCATGTAAAACGATTCAAATCTTAACTTAAAAGGTCATACCTGGTAGAAAAGTCCCTTTTCCATGATACAACTGGAATGCGTGACCTGTCTGTCAACTGCTAGTGATCAGTTAAAGCATCAAATTAAGACCCTTCTCGTCGCCCTCCCTCCCTCCCCCCAAAACAAACACACATAGAAGTCACGCCAGGGACCCAAGCGACAGTCAAACGGTCATTGCCACGGCTCCATGGTCTCTGGCAGGTTGTGTCCATTCTGGGCCTCTTTCCCCTCTACAAGGGTGGGAAAAGACCGGCTTCCCCTGGTCCTGCAGCATGAAGGATCCCAGGCAGGGAAGGAAGCCAACATGCCCGAGCCAGGAGATGCTGAGGCATGGCAGGCCTTGCACACCAGCAAAGGGGGACATGCAGCCTTCCTGCCCGTCTGCACGCTCCCCACCCCCGCTTCTGCTTTTCCTTTCTGTGGCTCCCGTGCTCTCTCTCTTTCTCTTTCTGTGCGTGTGTCTCTCTGTCTTTGTGCTTTTATGTGTGCTCGGAAGGCGCGATTCAGAGTGGCCGGGCCAGCTGGTGGGAATGGTGGCCGCTCACCCCATTCTCTCCCACCAACAGGCATCTGCAGCTAAGCTGCCATTGGTCACCGCATCCATTTGCTGGTATCCCAGAGGCTGCTGTGTGGGTGGCAGGATGCGTCTGGCTGTGCGTGTCTACGTGTGCATTTGAAAGCATTTCATGTCAGTTGAGGGTTCTTGCTCTGGCTTTGACTGATTGCTCGATGAAGTAGTAGAAAAAGATCTCAGGCCTCGCGCCGGCACCTTCTGGGCAGCCCGATGCAAGGACAGCGCTCTGCGGCTGGGCAGCCGGTTCCCACAGGGGCTGCAAGGAGCCCTGCCGCCCCCCCCCCCCCCCGCCAGCCCTTGCGCCCCGCCGCCGCCACAGCCCTGCCGTGGGTCAGGCGCAGCCGCACTCCTCCACGATCATGTTGGGCACGTCCCGCTTGACGATGTTGTACTCGTCGTCGAAGTAGAGCATGGACATGGTGCTCAGCTTGGTGGGGATGCAGCAGGAGTTGACCGTGCCGGGGTTGAGGCCCCGCATGCGGTACTGGTTGACCACGGCCGTGTGGAAGGAGGAGGCGGAGCCGGGGACCCCCGCCAGGTAGGCCGGGCAGCTGCCCTCACAGTAGTTCCCGTAGTAGCCAGTGGGCGCGATGATCCAGTCGTTCCAGCCGATGAGGCGGAAGTCGATGAAGAACTGCTGCCTGCAACAGAGGTTCGTCCGGCCATCGCACTCCAGGCCCCGCTTGCGGATGCGGTGTCTGCTGTCCCCCAGCCGGGCCTGCACCACCACAAAGGGCCGGTGCGACTCCTCGCCCGGGTCCACGAACACGGGCAGCACGGCCAGCTCCTGGCAGCCGTCACACTGCACGTCCAGGTTGAGCCGCCGCTCGCCGCGCTCAAACAAGGCCCGCATGGCCTCGGTGAGCGGAAAGGTGTGCCAGCCACTGCGCTTGAGGTCCACCTTCTTCTCCACCACGTTCCACCGGTCGCCGTGGCCCTGCTCCTGGAAGTACACCTTGACGCGCACCTTCCTGCGGCCGCCCTTCTCCAGGACGTAGGGCAGGAGCTTCAGGTAGAGCCACAGGCTGGCCTGCACCACAAACAGGTTCTGGTTGCCCTCGTTGGAGACGAAGAAGTACAGGCGGACCCGGGAGGAGGCGAGGCCATCTGCGGAGAAGTGGGAGAGCAGGCCAAGTTAAATCAAGGAGAACACGAGGCAATGGGGAAAGAGACTCCGCTGCATGATGCTGGAATGCGAACTTGCCACGCAGCTGGAAGACGTTATTGACCAGAAACACTGTTCCTGGGGCCAGGGCCTCTGACTGGAACCTGGGAGAGGCAGAGAAAATCGTTTTCCATTGAGAAACCCCGACCAGCTTGGAGCTGGAGGGTCCAGGCCTATAAAATCCTGCCTCACCTCTCCCAGGCCAGGGCTCCCTGGAGACAGGCTGTCAGGCCTCAAAGCTCAACAGAGGAACTTGTCAGGAGGCCAAGATCTTAACAAGTTGTTATGGGTATCTGTGAAATCTGAAAAATAAAACCAGGATCTCACTGAGGATTTTGGGGTGGGTTGTTTCAGTAGAGAGGTTGGGTTTTTTTTTTTTCTTTCTTTCTTTCTTTTTTCTTTTTTTTTTTTTTTTTTTTTTGGTTAACTCAGGGCATTGCAAAATCGAGCTGAGCCACCTACCACCTCTTCCCAGTGTTTACCTAAGCATGATCTGATCCAACCCCCAGTGGAACCTCCACTGCAAACAAGCGAGCTCTGCTCAGATTTCTGACACAGGAACGTGCGCTTTGCAGGCTGCAAAGTGCAGCCCTCGGTTCTGACTAGTTCCAAGGGACAGGACATTCAGCCTTGAAACTTGAGGTACACTCCTTTCATGAGATGCTGGCTCCCCATTAATGGCACGTTCAAAATCGCCAAGGAAAAGGGGAACTGGCTTGTTAGTTTCCTCCATAATTCAGCTCCACAAGAAGAGAGGGCCAGGCCAACCGAGACACAACCACTCCCTCATGGTACATTTCAGTGACTCTTCTGACAATCTGTACTTTTTTCTTCCTCCACCCCCCCCCCCACAGGAAGAACAAATAAGGCAACTGTGTGACCACGCTGGTTTTATCAAACCTCCTACCACTGCCCTGCAGCCCCCTTCTCAGGCCTTGCCTGGCCCCTCTAACAACTGACATCTGACTTTGAAATGGGGGAAAGTGCAGCCTTAAAAGCTGGTCTTGGACGAGCTGCCTGTGACCTGAATCTGTTATTTATAAGTCAAAGAGCTGGCTCCGTTAAACGGACCAGAAATATACCAGCCCCCGCTGTCATTTTGTGCCACCGGGACCAAAAGGCCTCCTCGACCTTCCAGAATCACATTTCTACTCTGGGCCCCAAAGCACCTTTTAATCCAAGCTCTCTAATTGCATGTCGAGCTTTCCCTGACTCGGTCGGACAGCTAAAACAGCAATGCATTTCTTTCTAAGCACAAACCAGCCCGATTGTCTCTGCTTTTCTCCACACCCGGCCATGCAAAACTTTTCATCCCTTTTCATCCCCAGGCGGCACCAGGACCGTCTGCCTGCTGCCTGGGAGGGTGGGGGGCATTTTCAGCCTGGTGACACAACCGCTCCCCCCCTTCAACAAGCTCCCTGCCCACCCCCACCCTGCCCACACCAGGGCTTCCCCCTCTGCGACCTTCTCCGCAGTCCCCTCGGCACAAATGGGGCTGAGCTCCAGGCACAAAAGCCAGCCTGGCTCATTCAAGTCCTGAAAAGGACAGCGGAGTGGAAAGCACTTGCAGCATTTCAGCGCCGGCACATTTTCCCCCTTCTTTTAAAGTTCCGAAAGATTTTCGGTCTCTCGATTATTATATTTAGACAGTGGTAGAAATTTACAATCCAGGGCCGGGAGAAAATTCCGGAAAGGGCTCCTACCCTTTGTTAACTACGAACTCTGCAGCTCTCAGGCGAGGGGGCTGCTGCCGCTGCCAGGCGAGCCGAGAGGCACGGGGCTGCCCCCGAGCCGCGTCTTTCTCTGCGTAAATGATGGGACCTGTTGAGAAGCCTGCCTTCCGCCCGATTCTGGTGCCCACACAATCGGAAGAGAGGTTGCCTAGCTCTCCCCAGTGAGGCTTCAGCAATCCTGGCAAGCCCACGCTGCCCGGCGATGGAAGCGGCCCCGGGGCCTCTCACGCAGGCACACAGGCACACACACACACACACACACACACACACACACTTCTCCGGCCCACGGATATCAACAAGCACACACATCTCCAACCACACTGCTAAGCCTACACTCCGATCGTGGGAAACAAAAACATTAAGCAATCACCAAGCAAGTGCCCGCGGAGCCAGGGCCGTACGCATCTGCCGGGAGGGGGATGCGCGCCCAGAGGCGCTGAGGCCCCGATTTCAGAGAGCAGGGGTGGAGGGCAAGGCGCTCAGCAGCGGGCACAGGGGGAGCAGGAAGGGGTGTGCTGCCTGGGCGGCGCGGGGGTGGGGGGGGGGAGGACGGCAACTGGGATGAGGCGCACAGGGCCAGAGGGGAGCGGCAGGGCCGGGAGTCCGCGTTGCCCCCAGGGTGCGCTGGCTGCGGCGGCCAGACGGGCAAGGAGAAGGGGGTGGGAGAGGGTGAGAGGGGGTGGGGAGCGAGGGCCGCAGCTGGCAGCCAGTGGGACCAACCCACCTGTCTCGGCGAAGCTGATGATCTCGGAGACGCGCTCCTGGCCGTCTGCGCCGGGGCTGGCGTGGCCGTCGAGGTGCGGAATCTCCACGCGGCCGTCTTCGCGCACCTTGCCCGCGTGCAGCTTGCGCAGGGCCGTGACCATGGCGGCCTTGGGCACGGCGTGCGTGATGTTGGGCCGGCCCCGCATCTGCAGGCGGCTCAAGATGTGCCGCTTCACCGCCTCCAGGAAGTCGCCGTCCACCCGGCCCAGCTCCTCGGGCCGCCGGAAGCCGCCGCACGACGTACAGGTGTCCTGCGAGCCGCCGGGAGCTCCGGGCGGCGGGGGCGGCGGCGGCGCGGCGGGCGACGGCGGGGGCGTGGGCGAGCCCCAGGCCTCGGGCCCCAGCCAGCCGGCCGCCAGCAGCAAAAGGCAGGCGGCCCCCAGCGCCCGACCGGGCAGCCCGTCCATGGTGCGCCGCTGGCGACGAGGGCGCCCGCCGCGAGGCGAGCCGAGCCGAGCGCAGGGCCGGGCTCCGGGCTCCCGGCGCGCCGCCCCGCCCCGCCCCCGCCCGCCCGCCCGCGCCCGCCCGGGCCTCCGCCCGCCCGCCGGGAGGGCCGCCGCCGGCTAGCAGGGGGAGGGGGCCGGCCGGGCCGCGGGGGTTCCCGCGCGGCGGGGAAGGGGCGCCGAGGGCCGCGGGGGCCGGAGAGGCGTGCGGGCGAGGCGGGGGGCCGGAGGGTCACTGCCGCGCGGGCGTCTCAGGGCGCCTCAGCATCTGCAGCCTTCCCCCCATCCTCTCCGCGTCGGGGCCCCGCAGCCCCCAGCTCCGGTGAAGCGAAAGCGGCGGCAGCGGCGCCTAGGCCGCCGCGCGGGGAAGGTGGCGAAAGGGCCGGTCGACGCAACTTGGCCGAGACGGAAGCGAAGGCGCCGGAGTCCCTGGAGCGGAGCCGGGCGCGGCGCTGCGGCGGGCGCTGCGGCGGGGCCCCGCGCTCTCACCTGAGCGCCGAGGAAGGGCCGCGGCCGCCGGCGACGGGCCGGTAGTGCTCGCCGCGGGCCGGCGGGCGGGCGGCGGAGCGGGGCGAGCGCAGTGGCGGGAGCGCCGGGGAGCGCCGGCCGCGCGGGCCGGCTCAGAGGCGGCGCGGAGCCCCCGGCCGCGGGCCCTGCAGTCCTCCCGGCGCGTCACACGGCAAAGTTGTCTCTAGGCTCCCGGGGCGCCGCATCCACCGGCGGGCGGGCCGGCCACTGCGCGCTCCGCCGGGGCCTCCGCTCCGCCCGCCTTCTCGCTGCCTCCCTCCCTCCGCCTGCCTGCGCGGGCCGGCTGGGCGCGGGGCGCCGTGCGAGGAAGACGAGGCGGAGGCAGGGCCCTTCTCGCCCCTGTCCCTCCTGCCTGCTGCGGCGGCGGCGAGGTTGGTTGGAGCGCCTAAAAGTCTCGCAGCGTCCCCGGGTGCGGGTGCCCTAGCTCGCTCTCCCACTGGCACACGCCGCAGGGCCGGGAGAGAGCGGGAGGGTGGCGGCCGCGTCCCCGCGCCCGGCCGCGACACAGTGCAGAGCCTGCCGAGGAGTTCTTCTCTTTGCCCTCTCTTCTTTTACTCTCCTCGGTTTTTCTCCCAAGGGGTAAAAAAAAGCCGCACAATCTCCGTATGTGCGCGCGCGTTGAGACGTTGGCATAAAAAAAGGGGGGGCGGTGAGAGAGTCTCGTCCTGGCCATGCGGGAGGAGACTGTCCGTGCCTCCCCGCTCCGGCTTCTCCCCCCCCGGGGGGGGGGGCGGAATCTGTTCAAGTCGCTGCCGCCCGATCCCCACGCCCACCCCCGCTTCCCCCCGCTTTTTTCCTTTCTGCCTTCGCGGGAAGGAGGGGCGAGCCGGCCCGCTCCCCTCCCCCCCACCCCCGCAATGCCCGGCCACTTTTGCTGTCTCGAAACTTTCCCACCACGTGGGCGCCCCGGACCCTCGCCCAGCTGGGCGGCGGGCGACACCGACGGGCTCCCGGCCCGGGCTGCCGGTGCCTGCCCCCTCCCCGCGGTCGCGCAGGCCCTGCCCTCATCCCGGCCGCCGCCCTCCGAGACCGGGAGAAGCGACTCTCGCCGCGGCGGCCGCCCCCGTCCCTCTCCGGGTGCACCTTCTCGAGCTTGGCGAGGCGGGGGCGGCGGTGCGGCCGCGGGCTGGCTCCGCGGGTGGATGTCGCTCCCGGGCTGCAGTGCCCTAGCCGAGCGCCCCGGGCCGCCCGAGCGCTGGGCGAGGCGTGGGCCCCGCGGGCTGGAGGGGTAGAGGAGGCGGTGGCCGTTGGAGGCCTGGCCAGCCGCTGCCTCTGCCGGCCCCAAGCCCCCAGGGAAATCCTCGACTGTGTGGGGAACCAGCCTCGCGGCAGGGAGGCCTCTGAGCCCCAGGACTTGGGGAGCTGACGAGGCACCATTGCCTCCCTGCCCCAAGTGGTCGATCTTGGTCTCAGACAAATCCGGGTTCCAGTGGAGGCTCAGCGACTGCCAGCTTTGTAGGAGTGACCTTGGGTAGTCTTCACCTTCTCAGGTCTTTAGCTCATCATCTGTTGTGGGGGAGGACAATAACACCTGTGTCACACCTTGGGAGCCCCAAACAAGGCAACTTGGTCAAGCTCCTCACAGAACCCAAACACTGTGATTCTAAGGCATAGTTCCTGGGTGGCCCAGACAAACAACCCTGTGAATGAACAGGGAACCAGCCAACCCATCCAGAACCCCAAGTGCGGTCGTTCCTCCGTCCCTCCTTACGCCCCCACCTGGGCGCGGGGTAGCAAGACAATGCTCACAGGGCGCAGCGCCCGGGCCAAGGAACACCACCCTGCCCTATCCCCTTACTCGCCCAGCCCCCCACCCACTCAACAGGCAAGACTGTGAGGTGGACGCAGGGTGGGAGGTCATTCTGGCTTTCCCAGCACCTGGGGGAACTGAAGCTGGAGCGTGGCCTCCAGCTCAGCGTTCCCCACTCTCCCTGAGCTGGGGAGCTTCAGGCGGCGGGCTTCAGGCCTGATCGTGCCTCTGCGGAGCTCAGCCTGGACTGCAGCCCCGCTGAGGCCCGCAAGTCTGGAGGCCGAGCGCCCCCTCCCTCCCAATCTGAGGAACCGACCTGAAGGTGCCTGGCCCTGCGGGGCAACATTGCAGCTGATACAGGTTTACCGCGTTTACGGAGGGGATGTCAGAAGCAGGGGCCCAGGAGGGTCCCCGCGATGGCAGCCCTTCTGCCTCCTTAGGGCTCTTCCCAGAGCCCAATTCTCTGCTGTTCCCATCCACGCAGCACTCTCTGGCCTCTGGTTCCACCTCCTGCCGGATCCCAGAGCCCGTGGAGCCTGTGATCTCTGGGCGGGAAGGAGGTGCTTCTGCCTCCTGCTAGGTGGCCCTGAACCAGGCTGGACCCACCTCCAAGGCTTTGTTTGCATCTTCCACCAGGCACACAAGCCCCAGTTCTCTGGGTCTTTCCATCACCACAGCCACCAACCATTTGGCAAGCTCCTGTCTTGAAGACCCAGCTCCATCCCTCTTCCTTGGTGAAGCTCACCATGGCCCTCTTGTGCCCTGAAGAGTTATTTGCCATATTAGGCTCCTCTGCCCAGCGCCTGACTGTTATCCCTTCACCTATCTTTCTCCTTTGTGGGGCCCCAGAGTCCTGGAGGACAAGAACCAGGTCTCATGGGTCCTGTCTGATGCCATGCTAGTTGATTGACTGACTGAATGAATGAATAAGTCATTAAGCCAGTAAGGAATTGAGCACCCCGCACTCCCCAGTACCCTTACAACAGCTGTCCTTGCCTGTCTGGCTACCACCATTGTCACTGTCAGACCCACCGGGGCGGGACGGGGCTGGGAGGGAGGGGGCGCTCCACACTTTTGGGAAGATGCAGCATCCTGCCCATTGACCAGGCTCCGGGAGGGGCAGAAGCCACCTCATCCTTGCTGGGAAGAGGAGGTTGAGAGGAGGGTCCACATTTTGCTCCCCTGGTGGAGAGCTGTCAGCCCTGCTGCCAGTCATCTGCTGGGAGGGAACTGGGTCAAGCGGTAGTCAGAAACCATCTGCTCGGGAAGCTGGGATTATCCCGCCCTCTGCTGATCCCCCAGCCCACAGGAGCCAAGGGTGTAAATTGAGTTCTTCCAGATCACCTTGTGCTTGTGGGGGGGGAGCCCCCCATCTCCTACTGAGGGGCAAGGACCTGTTCCTGTTGCTTCAAAGCCTCTTTTAGCGCTGGGCTCTGTTCTCCTTGTACTGGTGACCTCAGCCTTCAGTCTCAGCCAGGGGTGGGACTGTGCCTGTCAGTTTTGAATACAATAATGCACATCAGTGCTGTAGCCAGTGCCCTCCTGCAGGAACAGGTCACCCCCCAACACACACACGGCCACAGAATGCTGACTCCCTGCCACCATCAAGGAACTCGGACCCCATGGGGAAGGCAGGAAGAAAACATGGCGGCATTATGGATCCGGGCACACAAAACAGGAGAGGGCTTCCTCTAGGAGGTGCAGAGCGTGTGCTCTTACAAAGGTTTTGGTTTGGTTTGGTTTTGGTTTTTGTTTTTTGTTTTTTTGCATAACTCACAGTTAAGTGTCAATTTGGGTAAAGTGAAAATGTCCACAAGTGACAAAACAAACCATAAATGAGCCTCAGAGCACATTTGCTAAAAGAGAGCCCAGGTGCAGCTCTTGGCCACCTGGCCCCTTCAGGGTGCAGGGTATGGGGTGAAGAGAAGGCCCTCAGGCTGGTGGCACTGGGGATGTGGGCTGAAGAGAGGCCTTTGACACAGTTGGGTTCGGGGACCTGGTGTTCACTTTACCACCGTTGGCCGGGGAGCCCCTGTGGCCAGACATCACTGTCCCACATCACACTTCTCTGGAGTGGCTCAGTGTCTGAATGGAAGGAGTGGCGTGCTGGACCAGACAAGATGTCCTGTCCACCTGGCAGCTCGAGACACAGGAGAGGAACAAGCCTGGAACTGGGGGCAAAGCAGGACACAGCCCTGGGGACCCCCGAGGGGCCAGGAGCCAAGCTGACCTTTGGAAAAGCTCAGACACCAGCATGGAGTCCCCTCAGAATGCCTCCCCCCCTTCCCCCCCGAGACCACCTCATGCTTTCGAGATCACAGAAGCAAGTCCTTGAGAGAGTGGGCGTAGGAAGGTGATTTTGATGAGACAGCCCTGTATTTCTCACCAGGGCCACCGGATGGTGCCCACATTTGGAGGACCCCACCAGCTGTCCACATCCTTAAGTTCTGCTGTGGCCTGGGAAGGGATGCTTGTCATCTCCGAAACTCATGAGCTCCAGGGCTGAGACCATCTGTGCCCTTCATCTGTAGCTGCCCGGCACCCAGCACAGCCCTGTTCTGGGAATGTTGACAAACTAAAGTCAGCTCATCCCATGTAACTGATGAAGGAGCTGAGGTGCCGGAACGTGGCCTGGTCAATGGGCCTGGGGTTCACAAGCAGACTCCCAAGTTCCAGTTGGCCTACACGTGCGGCAGACCCCCACAGGTGTCCTCCCTCCTGCTTCCCACCCAGGCAGAAGCATGCTGACCCACCTTCATGTGCTGCCACCCAATCC